TATAAAAACTTTATTATATTTTGAGGCTATATTATTTTATATAATGACTTGATTTTACCATAATCAATAATTATTACCTATCGTTTAAATAAATAAAATTCCAGCTATATATTCTGATTTACATTTATATTACATGCTATAAATAAACATTGCTGTCAAATAAAAATAATACACAAGGAATTATCATGGCTACATTGTTACAAGTTTTAAGCATTTTAGAGAGCAATATAACAATATATGCTTCTAATTTTTTAAATGGGGGAATATTATTAACTTAAATTTTGTCATTTTTTGTTATTCAAATGGCAATGAATTAAAGTATCATAAAATTAAACAAAAATTTTATATTTACATTGGTATAACTTTTATTGCTATCGAAGCCTAGGCAATATATTTCTGATTAAAAATTAAAATATTTTTTGGACTTTTTGGGATTATTTCAATATAAAATATTCAATGATCCACAATAAAATAAAACATCTGAAACCGATATTCACAGGTCCCAATTATCATTATTTTATTAATATACTATTCTAGGTTTCTAAAATAGGGAAGATAGGTTACAAAGACTGAATAGAGAAAAATTTTGACCTTGTATCTATAAAAGTCTTGTCAAAGATTAATAATTTCTTTTTAAATATATAATGATAGTATGAAGTTTTCCTGTAACAAATAAATTCTAGCTTAATTGTAGATGTTATTTTAACGATAAAGATAAAAAATTATCTCTATATTTGAAAAAAAAATATTATTAATGGATTTATCTCCTTCAATTTTATTAAAAAAAATTGAACTAAATATTTATATGAATTATATTTTTACATAGTGGTATATATTTAAAATATTTGTTATTTAGAGTACCGCATCGGACCTATTATTTTAATTACGCCTCTCTCCGATAGGAAAAAAATTTGTAAAATTTAATCCAACTATTATCATTTTCAAAGATCTGAGTTCCGATAAAAAAATTTAATTTGGAAATTTCCCTGATTTAAATATATTTTAATGAACTATTTGAAAAGCTTAATATTTCAGAGAAATTAGAAAAACCTTAAGCTCTAACAATTTGGTAGTTATTTTTGAAAATAAACTTCATAAAAATATTAGGAAAAGGAAATAATTAAAAAATATTAGGTCGTATCCGATTCAAAATACATTTTAAAAGCAAGACCCAAATTTGACCTACAAATATATATTTTATTCTAATTTGACCCACCGATTCCTTAGGATAGAACACACAGATATTCATACAAAACTCTAGAATAATTGGAAAAATATAAATTGGTATAAGATTACATTTCTAATTAAATTATATATATATTTTTTTAAAACTAATCTGACTGTGTAAATATCTAAAAATCACCCTTGAGAGATTGAATAGAGTCTAGATAAATTTAAAATCTTTTCATAAAATCTTGTAAATATTTCTGCTTGTTTTACACTATGGTTTACATTTTATGCCACATTGTCTTATTAGAGATTTTTAGGCATCTTTATTATAAATAATGGAAGTTATAAACGCCTTTCGTATTTGATTTCTAAAATTATCATTCTCAGTCAGAAGCAAATTATATAGATATAAAAATATAAAATTCAAATTAGAAAAGATAATAAAAGAATTACTTTTTGCAATATTTAATTTATATAATTTTATATATGATATAGGAATCATTGGTAATTTTACCCAACAAGAAATATAATTAATTATTTACTACTATTTTACTTTGGGATTATTTTTTAATCATTATTTTTTAATCATTATGTTAAATATAAATTTCTTTATGTTAGGTTTTTGGTTTTTAGTTTATTTATTATATCATTGCAAATCAAATGGCATTTATTATTTTATCAATAAAAGGTTTATATTCAAATTATCATTTATATATTTTGATAATAATTGAAACGATTAAGCAAAGGGATGGTAGAGTTCTAAAAATGTAATACGTCATAAATATGTTAGGTAACTTTATATTAGACAAATAATAAGATTGAATCGATATTTATATTAATGAAAACTTATGAGTCATATTTAAACTTTAACGAATACTAAGTTGCATATATAAACAAGGATGAATAAAATATCAAATTATGTTGCTATCATTTAAGATAAAAATGGGTATTAATACTAATAAGGGAAGAGTAATTCACATAATTTTATTTTTTCCAAAATAAATTATTTACCGATTAGTATGAACTATAAACGTTTACCATTGAAAACAATTAATATAAGAAAACAAAACCTCTAAGCTTATTGTTAAAATGATTAGACCTGAAGTAATTATTAGAAAAATAATTATAATATTTATATAAAAATCATTTGTGCAGAGTTATTATTAGATAAAATCTCTAATATATTCGAAACAACCTAAGATGACTGTTTTTTATGTTGCGTTTACACATAGCTCTATTATTTATATTCGTCATTCATAGAACAGCAGATATTTGTATCTAAAAAATAGTTATATTATAATCACAAAGTAAAAATATTTATAAAAATGGTGATTTAAATCAAATTATATCAAATTAAGGCATTGGAGATTAGTGTAAATCTCGAAATAACTCTATTTAAATTAAAACGAATTAGGATATTCAGATCTGAGTATTTACAAACATCCAATAATTTTAAAAAATACCTCATGAATTAAATAGGCCTATTCTCATAAACACATTTGAAACTAATAAAAATCTTATCCATTTCCACAGCCCACCTCTCTCTCATCCAAAAATGAATACAATATATCACTATAAAGAAGAATTTGAAAAAAAAAACTTAGTAAAAGTTAATGTTGTTGATGAACGACTCATTTTGAGCCGATTTTTGAAAATGGCTAACTCAATATTTTAGCCAAAAAAATATTGCCTGAGGTTTCGCTAATATATTTCTAGACCTTTGTGCGTTTTAGAAACAAAATCTTCCGGCTTGCATAATATTTTTCTAAATAAAATATTGAGTTAGATTTTTAAAAATTAACTCAAGACGAATCGTTTGACAACACTAATTTTAAAATTAAGAAAAACAAAAACCAAAATAATTTTTCTTAAATGTAATGAAAGCAGAAAAGACTGTGATACTAAGGGCCAACATAGTCTAACCTGTTTATAATCTATGGGAGTCGCCATAGAACTATTTCTATAATCTCGCACAAATTTAGGTTGATCATCTACCCAAACCTCCTGAAACCCGTTTACGTTATGGGAATAGACCAGATTGGCTACTAAATACCTATTTGGGATTTCACTTGAGTTTCTCAATTTTCTTTTAACCCAAACCCAGATCCTATTATTACAGTCACAAAGTCAAAAAATTAGAAAGTACCACGATTTTCACGATTTTTCTGTTACATTTTATCTCAAGAATATTCCTACCAATGCCTCCTAGGTTACTATTTTTTTTAAGATTTTAGGTCAAATAATTATTCAAATTAATGGTAATCATGGATAATACTACAATCAACTCCGTTTTTTTTCGAGGCGACCACCTTAGTTTTCTCGAATTTTAATGAGAGCCTCTTTTTGCTCCCTCCCCTCTCTTTTATACCATTTATATAAATTTTTATATTTGTTTTAAATTGTTTAATTATTTTTTATTATATGCAATTTTTAATATTGTTTTGTATATTATGATATTTAAATTTAATGATAAAATAGATATGTGTAAATAATATAATATAGCCAAAAGCCATTAAAATATATGACTCTCGCCTAACCTTTCATTTATAGGTAACATGAATTTTCTGCACAAATTTGAGGCGAACGAATATTCAACTCTGCGAATTCATAGTTATCGCAAATTAACTTAACATGCGATGAATTAATAGATAATCAATTGGGACGAATTTCATTGATATTATAATCTGACGGCTTATATTACAAGTTTTTTTTCTCGTTTTATTACAAGTTATTTAAAATTTTATTAATTATTTAATTTGTACAATTTAATATTGCCACATAAATTAAAAGTTTCTAATGAACTTGGAAATATGTGTACCTTGTTTCATTTTTTTAACTTATACATAGATAGTTTGAATTGTACATAAATATTTCATTTGAATTAATTACAATATATTTTTTAAGTAAAGTAATTAAAAGTATTTGAATATCAATTTAAATAAGGAAAATAAAAGTATAATGGCCTTTAAAAAAATAAATATTTTGGCTAAAAATATTAATTGTATTAATGATATTTTTGTCTAACAAATCAATTTAAAAAATATATTAATAAAATAATAAATTTATTAGTCACAACGTCTCTCTCTTTAAATTATTCTGAATGTTGATTCTTTGCTATTCTTGTAAAGCTAGTGTCATTATAGTTCCTGTTATGCTTGTTCACGTTATTATCTTCCATATATCGTTATCGTCCTGTATGTATCGTAACTCGTTTAGATTTTGCTCTTCTTTTGCTATCTTCAATTAATTGTTGTTCTCAATCGTTATCATCATCATTTAAAGTATGTTGGGTAGAAAAATAATAATAAAATTGTATCTTCCATTTTTTTCTTTTCTCTTTAGCTTTCACCTTTTCTGGTGGTAAGTTCCTTCAACATCTCTCTCCACTTTATGTTATTCATACAATATCTTGTCTAATTTATACTTCTTTATATTGGCTCTAGCTTTATGGCCCCATTGAAGTTTTGGCCTTCCTCTTTTACATTTGCCCATTACTTCCAAACTCTCAACCTAATTTCCTATGTAGTTCATAGGCCTTCTCATTGTGTGCCCCTACCACCTAAGTGTTTACCATTAACTTAGTCTTAATGGGAACTACCTTTAAACTACTTAGATTCTTGTACTGTGCGCTTTATCCTTTCTTTACCCCAGCAATCATTCTCAGCATTCTCATCTCCATAGTTTGTAGACTTCTCTCGTCTGATTCCTTGGTTGGCCATGTTTCCGAACTATATAGAATAGTTGGTAGACTATGGAACTGTAAATTTTTCCCTTTATTTGTTTGGGATTCTTTTGTCAATTAGCACTCCAGATAAAGATCTCCACTTTAATCACCCTTGATTAATTTTACACTTTATTTCTTTTTCTATTGTGCCCTTTGTTTGTATAGTGGAGCCCAAATATTTACAGTTTTCAATTGCTAATATCTGCCATTCATTTATATCAATACTCTCTGTTTCATCTCCTTCTATCACAATATACTCCGTATTTTCTCTATTTACTTTTAGTCCGGGCTTTTCTAGGATATTGTTCCAACTCACTAATCTTTCTTTCATTTCACCCTTGGATTTGGCAAGTATCACAATATCATCTGCAAATATCATATTCCACAGGACTATTTGAGGTTTGGACTGTGCTAATACATCTATTACTGTAATAAAGAGAAGTAGGCTGAAAGCCGACCATTGATGAACTCCTTCGGCTATTGTGAAACCTGCTAAAGTACCTGTTGTATGGCCCATATGCATTTAAGTCACCACCTATTATAACTAGGTCATCCTTAGGGATTTCCATTACAACTTCATCAAGGATAGCTTTAAAATCATCTTTCTCCTCTTCTTTCCAACTCGTTTGAGGAGCTAATACTGAAAGAATGTGTAGTATTGATTGACCAATACAGAGTTTTATCTTCAATAGTCTATCAGAGATCCTATTAACATCTACCACTGAGGTTAGATCTTGACTAAGGATGATACCGACACCGTTCCCATTATTAACAATTCTATTATAGTACAATTCATACCCATCTTAATCATTAGAGTCTTGTGACCTTTCCATTTCGTCTCTTGTATGCATGTTATATCACCTTTCCTCTTGTTCAACATGGATGCCAATTCTTTCGGCTTAATTTTAAGTATAACAATATTCAAGTAACCTTGTTTTCTTTGCTTTGACCTTTATTTTAATTTTCACAGGATGGAGGTCTACACCCTGCGCGTAGCTTGGAGGGAACGTCCTAGCTCTTATATTTATACTTTTGTTTGTATCTTTCATTTTGTTTATGGACAAGTATATAATGACCCGGTTGTCCAGGCCTGTCGGTGACCGGGGTGTCATCTCTAAGCTCCTAAATTCATCTTACCATATGTCTTTACATATCAGTTATCGAAGAAAAACCTAAAAATTTTAATATCCTTACCAAGATTGAACTTGCGTCCTCTGCGTTTCCAAGCATACATCATAAGCATAACCCATTAGGCCACCCCGGCTTCCATAATTATAGAATAAGAATTTATTCATTTCAATGATAAGAATTGAATTAATCATTTTTAATACTGTTTTATTTGCGTTTTACATTCATTTTTTTATTTCTCGTTTTAATATTTTAATATTTATAAAGATTATATTTTATATTTGGTGTTTTATTTTGATTTTTTTTAAAATTAACTCGAGCATTATTTACAACTTATTTTTCTAAATAATTTTTATATTTATTAAATATGTGAATAATGTAACCTTTAAAATTTTATAACCTTAAAAAATTACTTTCATACTTTTTTTCTATATGTAAAAACTTTAAATTAACTCTTTTTAAATTTTGTTAAATTGTTCTTTTCATAAATTGACCTTAAAATAAATCTTAATTTTATAAAATCCTCTTTTGTATATATGTAAAATAATATAAAGAGAATGAAAATTGTAAAAAAGAGATAGATAGATGTATAAATTATTTTAGAAAAATAAACTCTTTATAATAATGTTTTTCATAATAAATTTATCATTAATATTCTTTGCTTTCTGTGTTTTATCAATATTCATTTACGTTCATACATAATCTTTAAAATAAATTGGTAACCGTTTTACTCTTGCTAATCTTGATATATTTTTATTTTCATTCATCTCTACTTCTCTTCCCTCTTTAAATAATAGTATTCGCTTCTATCTCGCATGTTCTTATCCTTATCTGATCAATATGTCTTCTAATTGTCTTATGTACAGAGTTGATTCTATATAATGATTCAATTTCTTTTTCTTTAACAATACCTTTATCCCATTTATTTTCAAAGAATGTCACACTTTCTCTCCTATCATCCTACTAGGTATTTTTATCTCTGTCATTATTTTATAATTGTCGATCACTAGTTCCAGTTTCATTTTATTCTTTGTGACAAGTTTTCTTGGTGCTACGTCTGTTATGTTTAAATCTGTATTCTTCTTCCATATTTCTTTTTCTACTCATTTTGAATGATCCTAAGTATCTTTTCTACCTGACCGTTGGATTGCTCATGATAAGCTGCAGTCAGGGCATGTCATGGTTTATTGCATGGTCATTGCAAAATATTTCAATGATCCAAAATTTCTGAAAATGGTCCCTTGTAATCTATGCATATTCTATTGATAGGTTTCTTTATTGTCCATTAGCGTTGAATCAATTTGGATTTACTGCCCAGTTGTTTCATGTTTCACAATTTTTTATTTCGAGATTAATATCTGTGTTCATGATTGGCCAATACATATAATGATTAGATAATGCCTTTTTTTGTCCAGCACCCAAATGTCCCATATGTAATTCTTGCAACATTGTTTTCTTATGCCTATAGGAATCACAATTCTGTTTTCTTCAAATAAGCGATTGTTTGTGAGTTCTATGCTTTGTATGATTTATTTTTTATATCATAACCTTTTCTTATATAGTTAATAATTTCTGATATTTTTTTGTCTTTATATTTTTCATTTAATACTTTATTAAAATTTATTGGAATGTTCATAAATCATTTTTTGTTAACTATGTTATTAATAGTTTCACCATTTACAATGAGTAATTGTGGCAAACAGTCAGGAACTATCTTGTATTTTCCTGCTCTATGAATTTTTTAAAGTCATTATCCCATTGCTATAATCAATTATTGTAATCGCATTGAGTAGCTTGTAACAAGAACATCATTGATAGCAGAGATGATATACACAATTATTGAGTGGGAGGCTCTAGTCATAATATTTGCCATCAAAAGATTTCTAGAATATCTTATTGGGAATCATCATTGACCATAAACCCTTAATATATACTTTCGCCAAAGGTATAACTTTATAATAATTAAAAATATAAAATAAAAAAAAATAATATTAACTAAATAATTTATAATAATCGTTGGTTCTTTTATAGTATATCGCGATTTCTACTTTAATTTAATTTAATTTATTTCATTTTATTTTATATATTAATATTCAAATTTACATTCTAAAATTATATTATATAAAGTGGAAATTTTATATAAATAGAATGACAATGTAATTATTTTTTCATTTAACAAATTAGTTTTTAATCTTAGCTAGCCATCATGTGTTTCTAACAAAAACAAAGTCAAGACAATAGATACTAGAGACAAAATGTAAATCTACATGATAACAGATCACATCACAACTTCAACAGAAATAACTTTAATACTAGAAATCAAATAGAATATGACAATAGGATTAACTCAGTTAATATCGAAGAGGTTGAGGAAACTAAAATGATAAAGTAGGAAAAAAATTGACTTGATAAATATAAGTGTTAATAAAATGACTGAAAATTTTAACGACAATGATAACAACGATTTTACAACAATCATGCAGGTCTAAACGGTTATCAAATCAAAATATTAGGTATAATGCCAATCAATGTAAAAGGAGTAAGTAAAAATTTGTAAGAGATCTTTGTCAATAGCCATAAGAATCCGTTACTTACCAAAATTTGATTTCAAGAATATTTTTAAAATTTGAAGGAAATATAGACGATGATTATTTTATTAAACTTACTAAACTTATGCAAAATTGTGAATTGAAAATGACTAATAAACCTAACAGCAAAACCAATATTAAACTTCGTTTAAGGAAAGATGTGATACCAAGAATAATACCATCAAGAAGAGTACCATACTCTAAAATAGACATAGATAGTAAATAACTAAACAAAAGGATTCACGACAAAATAATTGAGCCCGTAAAAGAGGTACGTTGGGCGAGTCAGGATACTTCAGTGTTTAAGGAAGATGGGTGCCTCAGATTGTGTGCCGACTTTAAAGACACAGTTAATCCTGCACTGAAAGATTATAAATACCCCGATACCAAGAATAAAGGAATAATAGCCAAACTATCAAAGGAAATAAATTCACTTAAATCGACTTCAAGAGCAAATTTTCATAGATAAAAACTCTATAGACATTCTAAATATCTACACATAAAGGGCACTTAAGATTTACCAGACCGTGGTCTCAAAACTGCTCCTGCAATATTTTAACAGACCATGGACCAAATATCTGGAGATATGAAGGATGTCGTATTTTATATTGATGATCTTTTAATAACAGGTTAGAACGACGAAATACATAAAGAAGATATAAAAATATGTTTATGAAAGAATATTGAAATATGGCCTCACACCCAATTTTTTCAAAATGCGTATTCATGCAAACCAGCATCATATTTAGGACATGACATAGACGCATAATTTATACACCCTAATCGATATTTAAGCTATAATCAACATGTCAGAGCCAGATTCTTATGATGAACTTTCTACATTTTTAGGAATGGCAAATTACTACACAAATTATTTTAATAATTTTGCAGTAGCAGACCCACTATACAAAATAGTTATTAAAGAAAAATCAAATGGGAAGGTGAATATGCTAAAAGTTTTAATAAAGACACTAATTAGTCAACCTCTTGCATTAAATTATTTCAATCCAAACCTACCTATAAGAATAGCTGCTGAGGCATCCAAACGTAGACTTGATGCAGTACTTTTTCACATAAAAGGCATGAATATAACCTTTGCAATAAAAACATTGAAAACAGAGATGAACTGCACAAATAGAATGGTGACTCTAGACATAATATTTGCTATTATAAGTTTTCTAGAATATCTTATAGGTAAAAAATTTACAATCATCACTAATCATAAACCCTTGATTTATATCTTCGCCAAAGGTGTATAAGATAATAATTCAACGTCAATGCGATTACAAAAAATGGAATATAGCAATGGGAGTTTTATATTTTAAAATACGAAACCTCGAAATTTAGGCGATATTTTTCTGGCTAAAATTTTGTGTGTTAACCATTTTCAAAAATCGGCTAAAAATGAGCCGTTTATCAACATAATTTTTACTTTTACTAAGTATTTTTTTTCTTCAAATTCTTCTTTATAATGATAAATTGTATTCATTTTTAGGTGAGAGCGAGGTGGGCAGTGTGTGTGTATGGAGAATTTTTATTAGTTTAAAATGTAATTATGAGAATATGAGAATAGGCAATATACGATGTTTGATAGGGAGGTGGGGGGGTGTTTTCACCTTCCCCCACCCCTTTGCTACGCGTCTGGATAACGTTATATTTACCTAATTTAATATTATTTAAAAAGCATCAAAAAACAAATATTAAAATTTTTTTTGAAACATGTTCCTGTTATTTGTTCAGATCGAATCTTTAAAAAATTCGTTATTTATGGGATTCAAAGCTGTGCGAGGGGAAACCTCAACTAATT